CGGTTCACACTTCCTGGGAGAAACAACCCTTGGCTTCCATTGGATAGGACATTTGACCATCTTCATTCTGCCTGTAGCAAGTCGGCCATTGTACTTACGAACAATAGTGAATGAGTAATTATCCTAAAGAGACTTATTTGTACTTAATACTTGCAGCACACGATCTGACGACTCGGATGATTCCTGAATGTCAAAATGGCGAGGGACTGCTGGGTGCCATTTTGGCAGAAGGAATAGAGGACAAAGACGTTATCCGCATTGTGGCTGATCTTTTTATTGGCGCTGGAGACACAGTAAGTGATCGGCAGAGGCGGATTAAGGCCTTTGAGGAACTTGTACTTAACAGTGCACATGACAGTAAGTAAGTATTTGTAACGCACACACGTGACCTCCCTATTCCTGAGCGGAGAACATTGGTCTTTAGTACAGAGATTTTTGCTTTCCATTGTTTGTACTATTGTCATTAACTTTTTACTGCTAACGAGGACAATAATTGACTACGTAATTAGTAACGAGAGACTATCTGCTTCACTATAGGATGCAAAGTTTAATTTGATTATTTCAACATCAAAGACAAGAATCCTGGCAATGAAAGGAAAAAACATAACTATCTATTTGGAACAATTAAATCCTGGTAGAAACAATACTAAAGATCTACAAAGTATTGGCTGTTGGAAGTCAACATCAAAGCCAACATGTCTTATGTAATAATCCTTCTGGACCAAGTTCAATGTTTTCAGCTTAGAAAATTATAACACTATTAAGAGACACGCACATTAAAGGATTACAAATGGGCACGCTCTACTTTCAAGGAAATACAAGGATCATGTTCCACTCCTATAAACTTAAGGCCACAGCCTCCGTCTTCATGGGATATGACAAAATAATGCAGCAGAGAGGCAGCAGTTTGTAGTTACGTTTGAGTGGGAATAATTGACGATATTCTTACAGAACCCCACTCTTGGGGAGGGGGGAGTCCTATTTACATTTTCTCAATTACTTTAGGATGCAAAATTGTCAATGTGACAGAACGTTTGCCCAAAATTGTTAAAACGCGGGGTAAGTTTTGGCAACAACAAGAAAAATGCCTAGAATTCAGCGCACTCAGGAATTCTTGGTGTAACAGGACTCAGACTAACAGAGAACATATTCTGAAATATGTTAGGAGTAGAACATGCTTCTTACATTTATTGAATGTAATTGACAATTATTCTGTGTGATTAAAAATAAATATGAACAGTTGAAACATGATACAAATCAAAATTTCCTTTAAAATCCTCTCCTCGCAGACGGCCAATAGCACGCAGTGGATCCTGTACTTGCTTGCCAGAAATCCAAACCTGCAAGAAGAACTACACGTAGAGCTACAGAAAGTGTACGGGTGTGACGAAGTTGCGCAGCTTCCACTGTTGCGTGGCGTGGTGAAGGAAGCTCTCCGTCTCTATCCCACCGCTCCCTTTCTCACGCGATACTTGCCTCAAGATAACCTCATTGGAGGTTACCATGTTCCAGCAGGGGTTAGTATCATCTGTTGAAATTTTAATTTAAATTTTATTATTTTAGACAGAAACGCAACATACTGGTTACCCACATTCTCACAGTATGCTTCATATAAATATTTTTGTGAATGTCAACAAACATTTTTCAGTATTTAACTTGCGTTCTGATCCTTACATATGTTGACAGGTCCTTGTGCTTGCCTGTGTTGCATCCAAAGCCAATCTGAATTATGAAAACACGAGTTCCCTGATACGATCACTGTATAATAAAAATGCATATTGTAACAGAATAGGGTGCACCTGTAGACGGAGGCTAAAATGCACTTGCCGCTGGTTTTCGTTACCTCACCAGCTGTTTGTAGACAAGCATATTTTGTGGTGTTAGAACTAAATATGAAGTTGGTAAACGATTATACCATTTCTTTTAAGATTTTTTCTGTCCCTTCCATCAGGACCTCATCTTGTTGTCAATATACACAAGTGGTCGTGATGAAAAGAATTTTCCAAAGCCAAATGAGTTCTGGCCCCACCGTTGGACTCGTGACAGTGATGGTAACTACAAGGGTGTGTCTAACTGCTTTGCTTCCTTGCCATTTTCCATGGGTGCTAGATCCTGCATCGGACGTAAGATCGCAGATCTACAGATGACACTCACTACAGCAAAGGTGAGATGTAAATCTTTACAGGAGGTCTAACTGGTATACGTCAAACAGATCAGACGTTACAGTTGCATACTACTGAACCATTGATCGTGGAGTTGAGTCCAGCTGGCAGCCGTGGGATTTTAAATCTTCGATCCTATTTGAAAAATGTTAAAAACCATTATCAAATCTTCACTTTGCATATAATTGTATCAGTGTTTGAACGAAAATTTAATATAAATTCACAGAGTAAATGAAGTGAATGCATATGGGGAGGTAGGGATCTGTCCGTCCATGTTTCATATTTGAAATTACTACAAGGACTTACATGAAATTGATATTCCACACTAAACGTTTTCAGGTGAACATGGTTTTGGCTGCATTCTCAACTTTACATGAGGTCCATATTGAAAATTACACAATGTGCAGAAATTACTACATATACAGAGCGAGTCAAAAGTATGATTGGAAAATTTAAAGGCATGTTCTGGGAAACAAAATAATAAAAATTATCCCTTGTATATGTGGTCTTTGCTTTTCCTTATTGCTTTTGTTGGTTGCTCTGGCCTTGGTTACTCTGTTGATGTCCTGCAGGGATAGCCATTGGCCGAGATAATGGACTTCATCTGCTGCTGTTCAGAGGTGTGGCAAGTTTTCACCCTGTTCATCAAGATGGTTATGACACCACTTATGAGCCCATGGATTGTGTGATACTGCCTGTAGCCTGTATTCAAGTTGCAGATGGTGATGCATAACCCCCATAATATCCACTTATTTATCTTACTACTTGGCAAATTGTATTTCTCTGTATAGCCATTTCAGAGCATACAGTCTTGCCCTATAACTTGTACTGGCATACTTCTATCAACATTTTGAATTAACTAAGTAATCTATTATATACCCTTTGTCTCTTAACTGACCTGATTCTATTTACATTAGTCACACAGTCCATTGTATTAAGTACTACATACTTATTTCTTACATTTAGTAAAATCTAGTTTATATTCACATTATAGCTCCCAGTTATTTTACAATTTCAACCTGATATTTTTAAAATCGTGTTTATATTTTACCTTGCATTTACTAAAACATTATCTAATTTACGCCAGTTTTCTCTGTTCTTACATTGAGCTATCTTCTGTGCACCTAAAACTGGATCCAAATTCCAAAGTCACTCATTCAAGACCCTATCCCTCCATTCCTTCATACTACAAAATATGTCAGAATTCTTTGTCTTTTCTACAGACTGAACAAATCCCTGTTTCCATACACCTTTCTAACCCCTTCAACCTCCACACTTCTATTTCTTGTCACATTTTTCCCTCCTTTCATCCCGTGTACATATTTCTCTGTACTCCTTTCTCCTAACTTTTTTCTTCTTCAAAAAATGGTACAAAGTTAGTGATCTTTGTCCCTGATTCATGCTTCCGTGTTTCGCCTTTCTATATCAACAATTTTCACTTAACTTTTCTTTATATATTTATATAATTTCCGCATTCCTTGTTCCAAATGTTTCCCATACTCTTATTACTCAATCGCAGAAAGCTTCCACGGTTACCCACTAGAGACATAGAATGCATATTTGTGTAAATGTCTCAGACTGCTGAAAAATGTTACTATTAGATTAGTTACAGAAATTTATTTCTGAGATGTCAAGCTTCATAGAAACAAAAAGAATTTTCAATAGTATAGACTTCATGTTCTCTAATTAGTTTAAGTGATTTGAGATTTTTTAATACATCCGGTTGTTCTACTTGTTATAGGTAATACAACGGTTCAAGATGGAGTTGATAGAAAAGAAATCGATCGATATGACGTTGCGTCTTGTACCAGTGCCGTCACGCCCTGTCAGACTCCGGCTTACAGAGCGATGAGTGTTTTAAAACTGAGCTTATTGTTCTGCAAGTTCATTCCCAGATTGTAAAAATCAATTACCATAAACTGCAACCAGGTGTCTGAGAATAGCAAGTACTTTCAGAGGGAAGAGTTTTAAATTAATTTAAAATATTCTTGCCTACCATATTACATTTTAAGTTCGACCATTATCATGAACAACTGGTCACAATTTGTGATTCTGATTTGATACTCACAAAATGTCTTCTATAGTATATACAGCGTTAAGTGTTATTGATTCTTAATAAAAAAATATTTACTGACTACAGGAAATATTATGTAGCATAATACAGTGTTGACATAAGTACAAAGAAGCAGATATTACTGCTCTGCTCTTAACAATGTTCTTGAATTGTGTTCCAGGTGAATGTTCCATTGTATTATAACATATTAAGATTGTTTGTATAAGAATTGTTACACATAATGATGGTTACGGCACCAAAGTGAAACCTTCTATAGCTTCATTATTCTCTTTGGTTAAGTGGAAGAAGACCTGTTCTTAAATGTAAGAATAATGTAACCAGCTCATGTTAAAAAACATTTTAAGATATGGTAATTACTTTTAAAATTAATTTTTGTATGTGGTTTTTTCATTGTCATTCCTTCTATACAATAAGCACCTGATATTGACCCCGTATGGAGTATGTGGAGTGCGGTGAAGAAAACTTTGCAGGAAACCTATGCTTTCTGGACCCTTGTGTTATACACTTGGGGTGTAGTTATTTTTTCTGAGCATGTTATCTCTAATTGAGACCATTCTGAGATGAACGAGATACATGGTTGAAGCTCTGGTTTACTGCATATCTTGTTATATATGCCAGGCCCTTAAACAGCCCTTTCAAGAACATATTAATTCATATTTTGTATAACTAACTAATACACTTTATTAAATACACTTCTGAATTATGCGTCTTTTGTAAATAAAATTGTCTGTCTACATTCAGAGACTACGTACATGTTAGTATCTCGTCATCAGAAGACAGGCGGGCAGAATTATCTTAGGGTGGCTAATAAGTCCTTTGAAAGTGTTACAAAGTTAAAATATCTGGGAACAAAATAACAAATTAAAATGATACACATGAGGAAGTTAGGAGGAGACTAAATTCCAGAAATGCTTGCTACTTCTCAGTTCAAAATATTTTGTCTTCCTGTCTGATTTCTAATAACCTAAAAATTAAAGTATACAAAACAATAATTTCGCATGTTGTTTTGTATGGGTGCAAAACATGATCTCTCACTCTGAGGGAGGAACAAAGATTGCAGGCGTTTGAGAATAGGGTGTTGAGGAGGGAGGATAATGTCAAGCGGGATCTATGGGAGACAGGAGTTAAAGGAGACTGGATTGTGTTGGCCCAGGACAGGGTCTGGTGGAGGGCTTTGGCTAATTCGGTGATGAACAAGCTCCTGACATCAAAATCTAATCATACTGTGCATAAGTGAGACTTCAGGTTTTCGTTATCGTGATGTGGAAGCAGTAAGTTCCCTCGAACCGATGGCAAGTTTCTTCCAAACCCACCATACGCTGCAATATCCTAACCACAGGCATCTTCGTAAACAAACTAAGATGTGTAAGTATTTCGTTCACAGCAGGCCTACTGCGTCAATCTGCTACAGAAGAAAACAACGGAAATTAATAAATTTTTTCTCTTACGGAAGATACTGACAATGTTTATCTGTTTACAGCATAGCTATGGCTACACTCACCCAACGTTATATTTTTTATGAGTCTCTCGCCTGACTGGAATTGTTTTGCGCGACCTGTGTTTGAAGAGTCTGACACATTCGTGACGTCAGTACAGTAATCTGTGGTTTGTTCCTTAGTTCTCTATGTAGTTGTTATCTGTGCTAAATATTTTGGGGATCTGTGCTGATCATCTGTACCAGAGATCTCATGTCGTAGACTGTTTGGAGTGTGTATATACTTGCGCTACAGTTTGTAAATTGTTAAAGTGGTTAGGGGGTAATTGCAATGGCAGAGAGGTATGTTATGTAGCATCCGATTGAGAATTTCATTATCTAATGTTAAATTAGGTTAATTTATGTCAAATTGGCAAGAATTTCATGGTGTGTTATATACGTGGTCATTGACAAATCATTACATTTATCAACCTTTTGACAGATAATGTTAATGAATGGCCGTAGTGATCGAATTAAATATTAACGGGTTTCATATCAATGTATTTTTTTTTTCCTTGAAGACATGGCTGGTGCTGAAGATTCTGACCTGTTTCAAGTTCCCCTTGCTGCTCTTCACACTGCCACAAGGGAAGTCATTTCATCTCTCTTGAATCCATTGAAAGTTATTCCAACTGATGAAGATATACCGAGGTAAGTGGTACCTTGTACCTGGATCAAAGAAATTGTATGGTAGAGTGGCTGTGTTGTACAAGTGATAAAGAGAAATGTGTTTACTTTTGCCATAATTTGAACATTTACCTACAAACTATTGTAATATGGGAAAACTGGAAAGTTAGATGTAGAAGTACAGTACAACCATTATCAAAGTTAAATGCAACTGTCACATCCAATTTCCCAGGTGGGATTGCATGACTCACCAACGAGCACTACAAGATATTCTTGATATCATTAATGAATCGCCCAATAAAAACAATGCAGTCAACTAATCTATGTGTAAATTGTGTTGAAAATGCTCTCTGCGTACAAACACACAAGGTCTGTACCATTTAAATAGGTTGAAATTGTACCATGAAGACAAACTTCATTGATTAAACTCCAGTACTGATTATTATTTGAGGAAACATGTCTGTGCAAATGAAACCACAGTTTGTCAGGAAAGAACTCAAATGAGGGTCTTCTTCACCATCATGAATTGGCTGCAAACACCAGTTGCAGAAATGAATTCCACTAGCTGGGTCACAATGTTGGAAAGCATGAAATGTAGTTACCTTGTATGGCTGAAGTTTAAGTAGCTTCAGTACTTTCAATGCTGATGAGTTTGAGGTGCCAGCCTCAGTGCTTTTTGTGGTGTTCTAATCTAGCCTCTATTTTGTTTGGTTTTCCCTGGGTAACCAATGGCATTTTTAGAGTGGTATCTTCTGCACAAGTGACCTAGTAGACCTTGCTTTCTTAACAAGTTTATGGATGCCTATTGTGATTCTGGGAAATTTACAGCAGTGTTCCAGTGGAACCACATTTGACGTAAAAGCAATACAGAAAATATGCTGTTCAACAATATGTATCAGAACCATATCCAACACACAGCAATAACTAGTTCTTAACATGGTGTTAGACACGTTTGCACTGTTGTGTGAATACTTTTAGCGACTACTGCTCAGTTGCTGCAGTCATGCAGTTTCTGCTGGGTGCTGGGAAGTGACAGTTGTATTTACCTTTATCAGTGGATGCCTTGGTGACCATGATGCTGATTTATTGTGGCTACAATTTGTTTGTAGCAGAACCAATGCTACGCTCGCCTTATTGTACGAAGAAACTCATAATTATTTTTGTTGTATATTGTTAAATGTGTACTACATCAGAATTAGGACCTGCAGTTCTCTTGGCAGCAAGAACGAAGATGGCTCTAGTGTGGTAGAAGTTTACTGGCATTTCAGAGGAACCTGCTACCTCCATCACCTGGGCAATGACTGATGATGCAGGCAACAAGTATCTTTGACATGTCATAGAATGTTTACCAGACTACAATATAGATGACAGCTGTTTACATCAGAATTGTTCCTTAAGTTACCAATGCAAATTTTAATGAGGTATTTCTTCTTGTGTCCATCTTGTCTGATGAGTTCTTTTCTAAACAAATTGAATGTTCAATTTATGCTTTGTGCAAAAAGGCAATATATTGGACTGATGTGAATGTCTACATGTTAAGTATGCCACAAATATCAAATTCTATTGGAATAAGTTGAGTAGTTTCAGAAATTAAACTTGCAGTTGGACAGACAGATGTTTTTATTATGCATTTATTTCTACACTTTTTTGCAAAGAATGTGCAAGCCCATCAGGTCCCTTTATTCACCATATCAGTTACTGTTCGCGACTGTAACCTTGAGACTTGCAAGACATAAGGAATTAGACTACTACCTAAGCAAAAACATTCACTATGTACTCTGTAGTGGCTGTGCAAGCTCCATGTCAGTGTCTTCATCAGGTGTAGTATTGTTGTACTCACTGGCAGTTTCATTGTTGTCGCAGTCACTTTGAGAGCCAGTATCACTGTAACTGTCAGTGCCAGGATTGAGATTAATGACAATACGGTTTATCACATCTGGAAGGATGCCGTCTCTTTCCCAACATTGGCTTCGACCCTTCCCAGTTTTCCTTTGGCCACTGCATCTTTCGTCACTTGCTGGCTCATCTACTGTGACGTTGTTTTCGCGCACGATTCTCTTTATTTTCGCCCATGCAAGTTCTATGAGATTTAAATCACACATGTATGGAGGTAGTCTAACGACTGTATGGCCGCCTTTTTCCAAGATGTGATCAATTTTGTAGACCTTCTCTCTGGGTTTCAGTGGCGGAATTTGGTTATATAGCTAATTTTTTCACATGGTCACTGATCTGAAATGATGCTGTACTGCATGGCCGACACTATCTTTCTTCCTTCCTCCTTCACCCCACTTCCTCACCCCTCAAGTCCCAAGATTACAGTCACAAACAGTACTAGTATCCCTTTATACCATATTATTTTTAAACTGATTTTATTGTAGGCGTTATGTTAGTATTTCCATTGTAATGGCTATTTATCTCTTTGATTGTGGATGTTTTTTTGTATCTTTGCTCTGAATACATTTGGATTTATTTTGAAGGGAACGAAGGGATCTTCAAGTATTTGCTGAGTTAGTTTTATGTTGTGAGAGATGTGAAAAATTGATTGCTTTTGGAATCCAGAAATTGTAGTCAAATTGGTTCCAGCTGTGTGATTAGGCGGTTAATGATTCGTTGAATATTTACTTAATTGCGTAGTGTGTAATAAAGTGTAATGGAAAGAGTCAGTGATATTCTTTGTTATGTTACAGTGTTGCCATATGGAAATGTAGAGGTGAGATGTAGTTTTTAGGTATAAAGTAACACCAGTCACTTGTAGGTTGTTATAAATTTTTGAACTAGTAACATTATGAAGCATGTAGTCTTGTGGGTTGTAACACCGCATTGCGTTAGAACAACCATTCATATGACTTTTCCAGTGTGATCTGGTGTTGTGATCCGAAAGGAAGTTCGATATATTTCTTAGAGTAGAATACAGGTAAATGGCTCTGAGGTTTACGCGTTGTGTATCGGTTCTTACGCTAATTGTTTCCTTTTTGGAAGTTTGAAGGTGACTGTCTGCAGATATGGAGGGGTAACTGAATACAGTAGACTACTGATTATCTGTGGTAATTGGGGGAAGCAGGAACCCAGATAGTCAAGAAACACTGTTAATTCAAATTGTGCTTTATTAGAATTGTCATCATGTATGTAAGCAAAACAGGACGCATTTACACAAAGAAACGTACACACTCACATTGCAAAAGATACAAAATTTTAAGTGGAGGCAATGAATCTAGTTGCGTTCAATTTTAGACAGTGTTGCGAGTAGTTAAGAGAAATATAATTTCATATTAGAGACATTCTGAGATCGTGGATAATCCACTCCTTGGATATCTGGGCCCTGAATAGTCGGCGCTCTGCTGTATATTAAAAAGTTGTTGCATACGGTTGATAGGGGGTGGTCCTCCAGTTTGTTGGTGTGGCAAGAGTAACAACTCCTCATCATAAAAATGACTAGCAAGGTGTGAAATGTTACACAGTTATGGAATATGTGCACATTGTAATAAATTTTAGACTTCCATAGAAAGCAGGGAATTTCTTGACTAGCTGAATGACTATGAGCTTGTCAAGGAAGAGTTCACTCAGTTCCTTCCATGGTAGCAGAGGGATTATATGCGTTAGTTTTGTGTTATCAGCGGATTATTTTCTGTTATGAAGGAATGTAGGCGATTATGCCACCTGCTATTACTATCATAAGGTGATTGGATTTTGATTGATGGATTGAGTTATTTCAAGATATCCTGGGATTTGCTTTGAGAAACTGAGGAAGATGTGAAAAAGTGAAAAACCGCAAGTCTGGAGAGTGAGTGACCTGGCCAAGATTTTAACTTGGTACCTCTTGATCACAAATGTAAAGCATTACAGCAACACTTCATTGTGTGGTAATAAAAATGAAATTTACTGTTTCATTTGTTTGTTGAAGCCTTATCCTTCATGACAGGCGTAGCCCTATCCAGGGTTCTTTTGCAGGCTGTACCAAAAGCAAAGGACAGGGGAAGAGTTAATTATAGTTGTTATCTGATGAGGTTGTGTTGTAAAGTTATTTATGTGAAGAGGTACGGGTTCTTGAATTTTATGATTTTGCAGGGACTGGCGAGGTTTGGCCCAGTTGGTCGGTCTGAATGGTCAGACAGTGGTTCTGATAGGGTCAAAACCTGACCCAACAGCACAAGTGTTAAGCCATTGGCGACAAGGATCATTGGGTCTTTTAAGGTCCATTCTTGGTCAGTTGGATCGTTGGGATGTTGTGAGTGATACAGAAAATATGATAGGTAAGAAACTACCTTCAGTCTTCATAGATTCATCATCTTATATATCTAGGCTCTGTATTAAAATGTCAGTTTGTCTAATGCTGAGGTTAAGAATGAGTAGGAGGTAAATCTCTCCCCCCAAGCGCCTAAATGGCGTATAGTGGGACTGCTTTACTTTTTTAAAACACTATTCTTGGTCCAGAAGACTGGATCTTTCCATTGAAGACTTCGGAAATTTGTTTTTTGATTGTACTAGAAGATTTGGTTCTCATTACAAGTCACTCCTCTAAAATGTCAGTCTCTTCCTTAGTTTGAATCACATTTTGAAATTATATTCAACAGCCATATTTTCATTTGCCTCTAACTTTAAATACTTTACCCACTTGAAAGCTTGTGTTCTACTCATTATTCCCTCATAAACCTAATATAACATTTTGCAGATGTCAGTAGTATTTTTCTCCAGTTTCTAGAAAAGTTCAATATTTTTCCTCTCAACAGTTTTTAACCCCATGCTTTTTAATTAAGTGCACCGCAAAAACTCACTAATATTGCTGATTGTTATGATCGTATGATTATTTAAGTGCCTGACATCATGTGTAATTTGGCGTTTCCCTTGAATCGCTTTCAGATTTTCATGTATTTATGTTTATTTATTTATTGACAATGTTTAGGTGTTTGAGAATGTACTACATACAGACATTCTGTATCATTTCAGAGCGTGATGCTGTTAATTTTTTAAAAGGAAAGGACAGAACCAAAGCATCTGCTACAGAATTGGATGCTGAGATTGATGAACAAATCTTAACAGTAGGTGAGTGTGTTTTTGTAACATATAGAACAGGGGCGCGGGAGATAGGGATTAGCTCTATCTAGTGGGCCCAACTGAGTAGGAACCTGAAGACGGAGATAGAGCCCCATCTCCGAAACGTTGTTTTACGTTTTTTACGTTTTATTACTAAACGATGGATAATATCCAAGAAAATTTTTATTCAATTGACTCTTCACCATCGTCAAGAAGTTTTAGATTTGGGATACATGAGTAGTTGAGGTAGGGGAGTATAGTTTGGATATTGAAGGAATACGGGAGGTTAGATGGCCTGATGATGGAAGACCAACAAAGGGGAACTACATCTTACACCAGGCTTGCCCAACCTTTTTTGTTGTGTGGGCAACTTCGGCAAACATGAGTAGTTGAGGTAGGGGAGTATAGTTTGGATATTGAAGGAATACGGGAGGTTAGATGGCCTGATGATGGAAGACCAACAAAGGGGAACTACATCTTACACCAGGCTTGCCCAACCTTTTTTGTTGTGTGGGCAACTTCGGCAAAATTTGGTCTGTATGCAGGCAACGTGAAGCTCAATACATAAAATGTTGAATGTATAAGTATACGTGTGTGTGTGTGTGTGTATATATATATACTTTTATCTGCATATTTTTCTATATATTATATACAATAAAAATATACTGATGATAATGTGAAAAATTAGTAAAAAAATTCAATTCACAACCTAGGCTAGGGTGTGTTTATTTTTAGCACATTTTTACAAAATGAATTAGTAATGTATGGCTCCATAAATAAAAAAACTAATAACCTTTTTAAAATATTATTGCATAGATTGAACTTGGGTGTGATCTTTTGCACCAGCAATGAAAATATCAGAAAGAAGCCGGTGCCTGCATATCTGCAAGTCGTTAACTAGAAAAATTCCCTGTAACAATACGCGTCGCCAATCGTCGACAAAGGTATTTTAATCCCGGCAAAGAACAACTGCTAACAATAAGGATTTATGATAGGATCATTTGGGAGTATGGAATTTGTGGTAACTTTTCTTTCATAGTTTGCCAGGAAACAGGTGGAATTGCTTCGGCATTCTACCGTGCTGTTGTTAGGGATAGGGTTAAAAGACGTTTTCTTATTTCAAATGTCTCTGTGGGCAACATGTTGCCCACGAGCTACAGGTTGGGTGGGCCTGTATTACCCCATGGAAAAGGGAATAAGGACCACTGCCTGGGAACAGGTTTTTTTTAGTGAAAAGAGATCTTCAGCATGCAGTTAGAAAAGTAAAATTTGTTAATGATAGGCTGTCATACGTGATCATTTGTGGTTGATGGTGTGACATTATTACTGTAAATGTGCACCCACCAACTGAAGATAAGGATGATAATATAAAAGATACCTTTTATGGAGAATTGGAGCATGTATTTGATCAGTTTAGTACTTACGACATGAAAATTCTGCTATGAGACTTCAATACCAAAATTGTTTCGGAGGATATATTCAAACCAACTATAGGGAGTTAGAGTTTACATGAATTTAGTAATGACAATGGGGTGAGATTGCCGCATCCAAAAATCTTATTGTCAAAAGCACAACATTCCTACATCTTGATATCCATGAGCACACTTGGACTTCCCCTGATGGTGTGACCCATAATCAAATATTGATCATGTTGTAATTGATCAGATGTGCGATCTTATAGGGAAGCGGACTGTGATACTGACCATTACTTAGTGATAGCAAAATTTAGAGCAAGACTCTCGGTTCGAAAACAGGCAGGGCAGATATACAGGATTGAGAAATTTAACAACAAAAGATGGATCAATGTAGAAACTAAGCAAGAGTATCAGGTAAAAATTTCAAATAGGTTTGTAATCCTAGAAAACATTGACGAGAGTTCAGGGAATAGGGAAGTAGACGTCAATAAGGCCTGGGAAAATATACGGGATAAGATGAACATTTCAGCTGTGGAGAGTGTAGGGTATCATAAAATTTTGGGAAATAAAGCATGGTTTGATGAAGAATGCTCTATTTTGGTAAGACGGAGGAAGCAGGTTAGATTGCAATGGCTGCAGGCCCATACTTGGAAAAACAGTGTATGGTATGTCAGTGTAAGGAACGGAACAGAACCAGCAGTACTTTGAGGAATAAGAAGAGGGAGTATCTAAAAGATCAAATAGGGAAGCTGGAAACTAACAGAAAAAATTAAAACATTAGAGAATTGTACAGGGGCATAAGTGAATTTAAGAAGTGGTACAAACCTAGGACTCATTTGATCAAGAATGAGAATGGGGTTCTGCTTGCAGACTCACATGGCATCATAGATGGATGGAAAGATTACTTTAGTAAGTTACTAAACATTCACATAATTGATACATTTAAAAAGCAGAGCTCTCCGTCCTGGATCCGAGCCTTAAGGAAGTTTAAATTGCCATTGGGAAATTAAAATGTCATAAATCTCCAGGCATCGACTCAATTCCTGCAGAACTAATCCATGCAGGTGGTAGGACACTGCACTCAGAGATACATGAACTTATAGTCTCAATTTGGAACCAGGAAGTACTACCACAATAATGTAAGGAGTCAATTGTTGTTCCTATCTATAAAACAGGTGACAAAACTGATTGCATTTACTTCCGAGTTATCTCTCTTTTGTCAGCGTCATACAAAATTTTATTGAATATTCTTCTGGCATGGTTAGCACCATTTATGAATGGAACTATCACAGATGATCAATTCGACAAATTTTTAAAGAAAAAAGTGGGAGTATAATGGGTCAGTTCACCAACTATTTGTGGACTTTAGGAAGGCATGACTCAGAAGAGAGGTATTGTATGGAATTTTGATGGAGTTTGGGATACCAAAGAAACCTGATTGATTATTTTTTAAGATGTGTATGGATGGGTTATCTAGTAGAGTTTGTATAGGTAACGTACTGTGGGATCCCTTCCCAGTGCACAGTGGCCTAAAACAGGGGGATGCTTTGTCCCCAGTGCTTTTTAATTTTGCTCTAGAACATGTCATCAGAAAGGTCAGGGGGAATCAGGAAGGGCTGAAATTGAATGGTCTTCACCAGGTACTTTCCTATGTTGATGTCAATTTGCTGGGGGATGGGGTAGGTACCATAACCAAAAATGTAGAAGCTCTCCTACAGGCTAGCAAAGGAAATAGGTCTAGAAGTAAATGCAGACAAAACTAAACACATGTGCGTAATATGGGATCAACATCAGCAACACTGGTGGAACATACTTATAAGTAACACATCATTTGATAATGTTTAAAAATTTAAGTATCTGGGAACAACAGTAAGAAAGAGAAATGAGGTTCAGGATGAAAGTAAGAGTAGAATACATTTGGGGAATGCTTGTTTTTATTCAGTTCAAAAACTGTCATCATCTCATTTACTGTCCATAACACTGAAGATCAGGATATATAAAACAATAATTTTGGCTGTTGTCTTGTATGGCTGTGAAATATGGTTTCTTACCTTAAGGAAGAACATAAATTACAAGTGTTTGAAAACAACGCGCCCGGGAAGATATTTAGACGTAGGGGGGATCAAATAATTGGGGAATTTAGAATAATGCATGATAAGGAGCTGCATGAATTGTACGGGTCACCTAGCATAGTGAGGATAGTGAAATCAAGGAAGCTCTGATGGGCTGGACATGTAGCTCGCATGGAGGGGAAGGGAAGGGAAGGGAATTCTTTTGGAAAATGGCCACTGGTGATACACAGCTTGTTGCTTGTATAGCGTAGGAGACTAATTTGTTATGTTTTAAAGTTTGTTTATTTATGTTTTGAGAGATGTCTGTAGCTAATAGCTGTACAGTTAGCTTATGTCATGATGAACAAATTTAAATGGGAGGGAATGAAAAGAAAATTTAAAAGGGAGAAGTGTTACTTCAGCTTTGTGAGCATTATGGTGGCTAATGTTTTAGATGTTGCCATTCTCTCAAGTTTAGTACATCTTGTTCCAAGACGGGTGCTGTCGGTTTTAACAAAATCTGCGAAATAGATTGCATGTTGGTGTTTAAAAAACATGCAGTATAGTGCATGTTGGTACAAGTATCTATCAGGTATCAAGTAGGATTTGAGGTTTTCATGGCGATGAGTCTGAAGACAACCATCTTTAGGCATGAAGCTGTAAATCAAGATTCTGTAGTGGACTGCTCTTATTTTCCAGCGGATGTGTATAGACTAGAACAGGGTTTGGAACCACAGCATTATGATGCCTTTCTACTGTTTGCCGAGGAGGATCAAGATTTTGCAACACAGATTGTGGATAGGATGGAAACAGATTATGGATTGAAGGTACTGAAGTGATGAATTTGTAGAATTGTCTGTTTTGTTAGTGTACAGATTAGTCCTGCATGCCTGAATTAACTTTAAGATTTGTGTATGAGATCTTTCAGTAGTCACATTAAATACAGAATGATATAGACAGTATACCTACCTTGAGTTTTCAAATCAAAATCTTCTCATGTATACCGTGTGTGCCATTCATCTCACCAATCTTTTTTTTTTTTATTTAATCACAAAAGATACATATTGCAAATCGTAGTTTTCTCCACTGCTTTGTTACTTTATGTCTCTTCCCCCCAGCAGTTTGTTTTAATGTACGGCCAATCTCTTTTCTTCATACAGAGCAGTTATTTTATTTTACTATTAATGTTATGATATAATTAATTTTCAGATTGATGTGATACTAATTATTTTCATTGGGATATCTTTTATTGCCAATCTTCAAATTGAATTGCTTTAATTTTGCTGAAATTCCCTTGATAAATAATAAAGTTGTTTTTACTAACTGATTGTGTAGCCACGTGGCTTAAGGTATGCATAACCTTGAGTTGAGCAAACACTGGGGCTGTTGGTTTGAATCCTGTGTGGGGATGGACGTTCTGCATTAATTTTAATCACTGTTAGTTATCCTGTTCATTAAAATAATCTTGCTAATTGTGGGTTTGTTCCATAGCAGAGATTCTCAGAATTTATGTTTCTTCAAAACTATTTTTGTAATCAAATATTTTTGCCAACCCTTAAAACAAATATTTATGTTTTAGTAATTATTATTAATTTATAAACCTGTGTACAGAAATTGTAATTAAATCCACCCTATTCTTGAGGATACAGTTTATGTTGTACTTACCTAATATGATGGATTCACTTGCTTCTTGACTACAAGGGATTTGTCATATATATTTGGAAATCCGTATCTGACAAACATGGAAAACCTACCACAAGTGGAAAATATCCTTTCACTGTAAGTTGTTACTTTAATAAATGTTTCATTATGTCGAAAAGAACACCATCATTTATTTTACCTTCTGTTTTATTCAGTTGTTCAGTATCAGAAAACATTATCTGGCATTTTTTCAACACGTCCTCCAAAACTCAGTTTGCATAAGGAGGACTTTCTTCTTTCATATGCTGACATAGTTATTGTTGTTATACCTTTGGATGATAAATTTATCTTTAAAAGAATGTTTGCGAGATACGTTAATCTCTGGAGCCACACGGTATCACACAGACAGTTCAGTTGGACTGAAAATATATTCTGTAGTATGAGAATAACAAATCAAAAATTATGTTCTTGAGGAAGTTAGGAGGAGACTAAATTCCAGAAATGCTTGCTACTTCTCAGTTCAAAATATTTTGTCTGATTTCTAATAACCTGAAAATTAAAGTATGAATAACAATAATTTTCCTGTTGTTTTGTATGGGTGCAAAACATGCTCTCACTCAGAGGGAGGAACACAGATTGCAGGTGTTTGAGAATAGGGTGTTAAGGAGATTGGAGATAGCTGTCATCATATTTATGTTGCTTTTGTTGGTCTTGCGTAGTTGAAGCATTTGTAGGTCCATCTTGTTTTATGTTTTTCTTTTTCTTAAAATTTCTCATTTTGATTCAATGATCTATTATACGGTTTCAAGAAAACAAAAATGGCAGATACAGTATTTATTGATACTTAGTTTTTATATTACTAAGATTGATAAATAATCAACACCTTTCTGCTCCCAGCACAAACTTTCTGAAAACTTAATGCAAAGTGATAAAATGTATTGGAAGAATTGTCATTCAGTGCTAATTCCAGTTTTCACCAATGTATAGTATGACGGGGGTTCAATCCCCAACAGGGGCAGGGGATTTTGCCTCTAGCCTCTGTGTCCAGACTGGCTGAGGCCCATCCAGCCTCCTATCGAATGGGTGCTGGGGTCCTTTCTTGGGGGTAAAGCACTGCCAGAGTGTGATGTTGGCCAGTCACCCATATCTAGTGCGAGGTTAACTGAGTAGGAAGTACCTTCTTCCCCCCCCCCAAGCACTTACATGGTGTGTAATGGGACAGCTTTACTTTACTTTTTAGAAGTGTATAGTTGTATACATTCTAAAAGTGCACATCAGCTGATATACTGTCCACAGATCAGGAGAAATGCCCTGCGAGGGGAAGTCGTTTCTGGTGTGGTGCAGGGGGTATGTTTACTATCAAGTGGACTAGAGGGCTGATATACATTATTTAGTCTGTTGGTGCTACTGAATTTATTCCAACAGTGTTTAATAAGATTCCCATCTGAGAATAAACACAAATAACAAATAATATTTTGTTAACTGTTTTATCAGCAG